ATGACATCCCCAGCAATCGGCGGTTGTAGGATTAAGCTGTAAAAGAGTTCATACACCACTAGTTGGCAGTGTTGTGCATATATTGTACATGAATTATTATCACCTAGTAAGTGGATATTTTAACTTGCACTTTAAAATTAGCTTCTGCTAGTTTTTCTATGGCATAAGCGCTTTAGAAAGTGCGGACCTAACTTTTGGATTAGCGCTGCCCACCACTGCCAATATGGTTACAATTCTGTTGTCATTTCTCAAGATAAAGTGATCTTAGTCCAAATTTAGGGTTAGGATTAGTCTTGCTTGAAAGATTAATGTTAGTTCAAGGAATGCTAGGCCTTATTTTTTTTATTACTAAACAAGGATAAAAGAGAGAAGCGTTCTGATGTTTGTCATTAGTGACCAGCTGAAACTTTCATGTATTTTCATTCTGACACATTGTCTGCTCTCACWTTGAGCTCTAAAAGCAGCGCTGGGACGTTTTATTCTATTCTTTTCTTCTTTTTTTWAAGATAAAGACGTGAGGAAACCTGAGTTAACAGAACAGAGTTGTCTCACCTTCAGAGCTTGTTAAAGAGCAGGAAACAGAACGAGAAACGAAACATTCAGGTAAAAAAAGAGTCACTGTAAAAATCAAGCCTCAGACTTTTACCTTTTCTTTGTCTCTCATGGATCCTTTTCCCAGAATTGACATCTTTGTCAGGGTGTCTTCTTGTAGTCTCTTTAACGAGTTCCCACGTGGCCCGAGGAGTTTGCCAACAAAGTTAAACTGCAACAGAAAGCAGAAGAGCACGACTCAGTCAGCATCTGTGTTTCAGACAAAGAGGAATAACATTTCTCATGTCGGCAGCTCTACTTTATCTCATGTTAACGAAAATTATTATCTGCTGTTTTTGTTTTGCGATAAATGCAGACGGGTTTCTGAGTAGCCTCATTCATGGTTTACAGTGCATGGTTACAGGTTTTATATACAACTACAAACATCAAATGTATTTTACTTGGATTTTAGGSTATAGGCCAACGCAAAATAGCAAACAACTGAGAAGTGGAAGGAAAATAATAGCATTTTTACAAACACAAATGTGACCCATCATATTGAAATGAGGATTAAGTCATATTTGGACAAAATTACCCAACTACATTTTCAGATTTCTGGCTTTAAAAGCTACATTTTGATACCTGGATCATTCTGATATCATAAACTTATCCAGAGATATTAGGTAATTTGTCTTGTAGGTTACAATAATACATTACTCTTTCGTCTGAATCCTAATTTTATGTAAATTTATTGAGTGATTTTTTTATGTTAATATAAATAGTAAACCTCAAATAGTATTTGTATATTAAGATTTCCCAGTAGGAAAGAAACAAAAACATTGCTAACTCACGGGAAAAAATTCTAAATTTTAAGGCATTTTTTCCTRAAAATCTTTTTTTTTATTGCTACTTAGAGCTGGGCGGTATGACCCAAATTTTATATCACGGTATTTTTCAACAATTACACCGGTTTCACAGTACTTGACGGTATTTTTATCCCTCACAGCTCAGCTGATAATAAAATGTACAAACTTTGCTTATTGACTTTTTTCTTTTATCACTGTTTCCCTCCTCTTGTACGTCTTTTCTTCTTTGCCTGGTTGTAGACAGTAATCATGCATTTTGGTCCGATCGTGAAGGATTGAGAGAAAATCATTATCTGGTCTATCGTTACGTGTTAATAAAACACGTTAATAAAATAAGGATGACTCACCTTGCACAACTCCGCTAAACTACAAAGCTACTTCCCCCTGGGCTTTTCACAATAGAAGCACGTTAGAGTCTCCATGCAATAACGTCTCGATTATAACGTAGCATGTTAAATTTAATCATGCATGTCACTGAAGAGTTGTTTACTATTCAGCGATGGTGAAAACGGGATGGTTTTTTTTTAATGTTAGACCATATAAGTGACTGAAACACACCACTCGCCACCAGTTGTTCCAACAATAACGTTAGCATGCTAATGTGCTTAGCGG